AAACAAGATTGATTTTGGCAAATGACATCCTCCAAGAAAATAAAGGGCAGGGCGGGTGGGCGGGGCTAAGATAAGACTGATTTTCACAAATCATGATTATGATTTGACTTTTTAAAGTTTTTCAAATAGTCAATTTTTCGATTTTTTTAACGTTTCGATTTTTATTTTACAAACTTTCGGTTTTTGCAGTTTTTCATGTCTTCAATTTTTCGATTTGTAGTTTTTTAGTTGTTATAGTATTAAAATTTCCAATTTTTCGATCATTCAACCTGTGAATTTTTGATTTTTAAGTTTTCGTTACTTCAATTTTAAGATTATTTTTCGAAAAAATTTAAGAACTTATTAAGCCCCGCCCGCCCGCCCGGTCTATATTTCAGTGATGATTTTATCTAGTCTGTCGACCTTATACTGAACAGAAATAAAATTAGTCGTTACAATGAGAATGGCGCGGGTGGGCGGCACCAGTACTTGCCAAGATAAGACTGATTTTGGCAAATGAAAACGAAAGATCGAAAAATCGAAACATCAAAAATTTGAAAAGCATAAAATTTAAAAAATCGAAAAATTGAAATATTCCAAAATTGAAAAATCCAGAAATTGAAAAAATTCCAAAATTGAAACGTTGAAAAATTGAGAAATCGAAAATTATAAAATCGGGAAACCGAAAAATCGAAAAGTTGAAAAATTTTAAAGATCTAAAAACCGAGAAGTCAACAAATTGAAATATTAAAAAAATTAAAAATCGAGAAATCGAAACATCGAAAGTCGTAAAATCACAAAATTGAAAAATCAGAAAATGTAAAATCCAAGAAATCGAAAAATTGAGAGACCGAAAAGCCGAAAAGTCGAAAAATCAATAATGCAGAAAGCGAAAAACTGAAACATCGAGAAATCGAAATAAGTATAAAAATCGAGATTTTGGAAAGACTGAGAAATTGAAAAATGGAAGAATCGAGGAACTGAAAAGGCCCAAAATCGAAAAATTAATTGAAAAAGTGAAACATTGAAAAATCGGGAAACTGAACAATTGAACAATCGAAACATTGAAAAATCTAAAACCGAAAAGTCTGAAAATTGAAGAACAATACATTGAAACACCAAAAAACCTAAAAATCTAAAAATCTAAAATTTTAAATTTCGAAAAATTGAATTGTGAATTTTTTATTTTTAAGTTTTCGTTACTTCAGTTTTATAATTATTTTTCGAAAAAAATAAGAACATAGTAAGCCCCGCCCACCCACCTATTTCAGTGATTGATTTTATCAGGTTTGAATAAAAGGTCAACCTTATACTGAACAGAAATAAAATTAGTCGTTATAATGAGAATAGCGCGGGTGGGCGGGGCCAGTACTTGCTAAGATAAGACTGATTTTGGCAAATGGCATTCTTTCCAAGAAAATAGAGGGCGGGTGGGCGGGCCTAGTACCTGCTAAAATAAGACTGATTTTGGCAAATAATAACCTTCAAGAAAATAAAGTGTGGGGCAAGTGGTACTAATTGCTAAGCTAAGACTGATTTTCACAAATCATGATTATGATTTGAACTTTTCGATTTTTTCAAATCTTCAATTTTTCGATTTTTTAGTGTTTCGATTTTTATTTTACAACCTTTCGGTTTTTGCAGGTTTTTATTTCTTCAATTTTTCGAATTGCAGTTTTTTTGTGAATTTTTGATTTTTAAATTTTTCGAAAAATTAAAATTTATCCCCGCCCACCCACCCATTCTCTTTTTTTTCTCAAATAAGAAATAAATCTTATAGCAAATAATATAACAAAAGAAGTTAGGATTAGCGCTTTTTTTACTTTTTTCACATTCTAAATTCAATTAGTTTCCTTCCATAGAGAAGAACATATTAAGCACCGCCCACCCACCCTGTCTCAATTTCAGTGATTGACTTTATCTAGTCTGAATGAAAGGTGGATCTTATACTGAAGAAATAAAATTAGTCCTTAGAACGAGTGGGAGTGGAGACTGATAATACAACCTAGAATGTAAAAAAAGTAAACAAAAAGCGATAATCGCAATTTTTTTTTACACAATCTGCTATAAAATTTATTTCATATTTCATGCACCTGACCTGTCAAAATCCATCTTATCTTATCAAATATTAGCCCCGCCCACCCACCCTCCATTTTCTTAGGAAGTACGTCATCTACCAAAATCAGTCTTATCTTGACAAGTAGATACGAGCCCCGCCCACCCGCCCTTTGTTTTCTTAGAAGGTATCCAATTTGGCAAAATCAATCTTATATTGGCGAATAAAATGAATCACTGGAAAGGAGGCACGGTGGGTGGGCGGGTCTAATTATGTTTTTGTTTCGAGTAGGAGTGGAAACTAATAATACAATCTAGGATGCAAAAAAAGTAAAAAAAGCACTAATCGCATTTTTTTTGCACTATTTGCTATAAAACTTATTTCTTATTTCATGTACCTGACCTGCCAAAATCCATCTTATCTTATCAAATACTAGCCCCGCCCACCCACCCTCTATTTCCTTAAATAGTACGTCATCTGCCAAAATCAGTCTTATCTTGGCAAGTAGACACTAGCCCCGCCCACCCGCCCTTAGTTTTTTTAGAAGGTATGCAAATTGGAAAAATCAATCTTATCTTGGCGGATAAACACAATCACTGAAAAGGATACAGGGTGGGTGGGCGGGGCTAATTATGTTTTTCTGTCAAGTGGGAGTGGAAACTAATAATACAATTTAGGATGTAAAAAAACTAAAAAAAAGGCTAATCGCATTTTTTTTGTTACAATATCTGCTTCAAAATTTATTTCTTATTTCATGCATCTGACGTGCTAAAATCCATCTTATCTTTTCAAATACTAGATGAGACTGATTTTGGCAAATAATGTACCTTCTAAGAAAACGGGTGGGTGGGCGGGCTTATTACTTGCTAAAATAAGATTGGTTTTGGCAAATGACACCCGCCAAGAAAATAAGGGGCGGGGTGGGTGGTCGGGGCTAGTACTTGCTAACATAAGACTGATTTTGACGAATCATAGTCATGATTTGACTTTTTAGATTTTTCAAATATTCAGTTTTCATTTTCTCAGTTTTTGTTCACTGTTTGGAGTTCTTGATTTATAATTTTTGGAAATTTCAACTTTTAGATATTTTATTTTTGTTTTTTCGATTTTTCAGTTCCTCTTAGCTGATTTCTTAGTTTCTTCAATTTTCCGATTTCTTAATAATTGCATTTATTAAGTTTTCAATTTTTCCGATTTTTTAAAAGATTCAAAATTAACGATATCCCATCGTAAAAATTTCAGAAAAATTTAGACATTTTGGGGGTTAGTTTTCTCACCCCTAAAATAAATGACCATCTTCGAAGATTATCCACCCCTACAGGAAAAAGCAATCGAAATAAAATCAGTAATAACTGACATTTTTTTGTTTTGAAGTTGGAGTATTATTAGCAACCAAACCGTATCAAAAATAAACTGTGTACAGGGTGTTTCATTAAAAAAACTAGGTTGTGTGCTACGCTTTAAAAACAGAACATTCTATAGTTAAAAAAGTCTATTTCTTATAATTAACTCACCCTGTATATTTCAGAAGAAGAGTGCTGAAACTACTAATATAACTGTTCAAGATTCCACTGCAGATGTTTTGCCTTCCACTAGCCAAAACTATTCAGAATGCACTAAAGAAATTTTTAAAAAGGAATTTTCAGGCTGAAGCATTTTTTCCAAGTTCAACAACAATGGTTAAAATCAAAATTGGTGATTTCATCCCCTTCAAAAAATTAAGGTCACTTTAAAATATTGCTAAGTAAATCTCGTATTATTAAGCCCGGAAAAAGTGCAAAAATCCTATTAAAAAAACATATAATTGAAGATAAAAAACATCTCTAAACATAAGAATAAATTTCAAATTTTATTTTCTTTTAACGCAAATGCCACTACTGATGCTTGTTATCTGAACGTGCTAATAGTCAAACTTTTATTTGATACCTTATCCCAAATTTATTAAGAAAAACTATTAAAAATCCACACGTTTTTGAAGATTTAGAAAAAAATTAAACGAAATCCGAAATCTGAACATCGTAAGAAATAAACTGATCTTAACATCAGCGCAAAGTGTTTCTGAAACTCCACAAGGTCCAGTACGTGATCAAAATATGTAACGGTTTTATGTTCAAACACGTCGACAGTGTCGCTTGGTTTCATAGTCAGCCCGTCCCAAGTGTCCTTGGCCTAGATGACAGATCGCAGCACATATTTTGTTAATACGCAGCCGACATTGATTTAAAAAATAAAAAAAAAACTTTAAATTACTTAGTAAACCCAAAACAGAAAATCAAAAACTCAACAATTCCATTGTGTCACTTTTTTTGAAGTGTCATTAACAAAATGTCAAAATTTTGTTAGTTTTCAAACTTTTCGTATTCCAATTTTTTAATATTGTGTCGAAATAGTTCAAAAGGTTAAGTGGACAGAGTAATCGAAACTGAGTCCAAAACATAAAACTTGGTAATTTTTAATTCAAAAAATCGGAACATTTTGACACCGTCAATGTGGAAAATTTTGGATTTCAGTAGAAAACTTTTTGTCTAATTAGAAATTTGATTAAGTACACAGTGTACAAAAATATACACAGTGTCAATTTAAATTTTTGGGTGGTTTGTAAGCACTTTTGCAACTCCATTAACTCAAATGACTAAATTTGAACATCCTCTTAGATAACACTCCTCCATCCTCCAGCTCAACATGATACCAACACAACATATGCTATCGTTTTGACAATTCATGAGTATCTACATATATCGAATATGCCATAAACATTCCACAAATATTGTCACCCCCCTCCCTCCCCCCTCCCCCATCACCCGACCCTCCCCGACTCAACCCGACCACCACCTTCCACCGACCTCTTCGTCAACATCAGCAGTTCAGTACAATTACAACACAATCCTCGGTCCTTCCTTCCACCACCCTGTATCGTCCCACTCCGCCGCCATTCCGGCGATCGATATTTTTCCTCCGTCCCTACCTCGTCATAAATGAAGTTGTCAATCTCCTCCAGCGGCCTCCCGTACAGCTTCTGCGGGAAGGGCTCGAACTTGGCCGGCAGCCTGGAGCCGTCCTCCACGCTCAGCTTCCTCCTCGGCTGGAAGCCGTACTCGCGCACCAGCTGCACCGTCTTCCGCTCGAGCCGCTCGAGCGACTCCTTGGTGAAGGGCTTGACCTGGGTGCGGGGCGCCCTGGCGGCGGCGGGCGCGGGGTCCGAGTTGCGCTTGGCGAGCGCGGCGGGCTGGGGGCGGCTCTGGGGGTACGACACGGGCCGCGGGGCGCGATCGGCGGGCGGCGTGCGGCGCACCACCGGCGGCGACGGCGACGCCGCCGCCAAGTCAGGCGGACTCGACATGGAGTTGCTAGGGCCGCGGGCCCGGAACGCGAAGCGGCATAGCGAAAGACTCGCGGTAGACTGGCGAGCGACGGCGGACAGAGGCGGACGGCGCCGCCGCCGACGACGGCGATGGGCGGCGGGGCGCGCGTCACGTGCACGGGACGGACCTGGGGCCGAAGGTGGGACGCGGACAGTTTTGTTCAGGGTTTTTGGGCCGGTGGAGATTTTTACTTCCCGAGTGTAAGCTGTGGCGGGAGACTGGCTACTTTCACATTTTCTCGACGTTCCATGACCCCGAGTATACGAAGAAATAGGTCTTCCGTTTCTATTTATCGAGATTATTATTATTATTAGACGGATTATCTCCGAAATTACCGTACAGTTTGTTCGTATATTAGGAATATCATGGAGATGGTAAAACGCTAACTAAAATTTTTCTCCAAATTTTGCAACAGTAAATGTAATTTAAATTTCATAAAACAACGTACTCCTTCATTTGTGACTTATGAATCTGTGTTCAATTTTTATCCTAGACATCAAGTTTTCGAAAAAATCAAAATTGTAGATATAACAATTTTTGATTTCCCAATTTTTCGGATTTTTGATTTTTCGATTGTTAAATTTTTCGATATTTCAGTTTTTTTATTTTTCGATTTCTCGATTTCTCGATTTTTTTTCAATGTTTCAATTTTTCAATTTTTAGTGATTTGATTTCTAGATTTTTCAATTTTTTGTTTTGTAAAATTTAAAATTGTTCGGTTTTTAAATTTTTAGATTTTTCACTTCAATCACTCAATCAATACTTTATTCATGTTAAAAACTTACAAACACAGTTTTACAAAAGTCAAATACAATAAATTAAACCAATAAACTATTAAAATTTTTACACCGAAGATAATCCTCAAAACTATAAAAACAATTCATAATAAGAAAAATTTTGAGTTTTTTTTAATATATTAATAGGCTTATTACGAAAATCTTCGGGTAACACATTAAAAATTTTTCTTCTTCACTTTTTGAATTTTTCAATTTTTTGATTTCTCAATTTCTCGGTTAGCAGATTTTTGATTTTCCTGTTTCTCAATTTTTCGACCTTGCAATGTTTCGATTTTCAGTTTTTCAATTCTTCAGTTTTTCAGGTGTTTGATTTTTCAATTGTTCTATTTTTCGACCTTTAATTTTGATTTTTCAATTTTTTGTATTCTCAATTTTTCGGTGTTTCAGTTTCGGGATTTTTCAATTTTTCGCTTTTTTACTTTTTCTTCGGTTTTTCCATTTCTCAATGTTTCAGTTTTGGGATTTTTCAATATTCTGATTTTTCAATTTTTCAGTTTTTCGATTTTTCCATTTTTTAATGTTTCCATTTTTTAATTTTAAAATTTTCGATTTTTGGTTTCGATTTTTCAATTTCTCGACTTTTTTACTTCAATTTTTCGATTTGTTGGTTTTTTAATTTGCAATTTTTCAATTCCATTTTTGATTTTGGCCTATTTTGATTTCTCATTTCTTCGATTTTTCGACTTCTCCTTTTCCCGATCTTTTGAGGTTTCGATTTGTCGGTGTTTTAGATTTTTAAAATTATTCGTTTAAATTTTTTGATTTCTCTGTTTTTCAATTTTCAGGTTTTTGATTTTTCAATTCTTCTATTTTTCGAGCTGTGATTTTGATTTTTCAATTTTTCCTTTCTCAATTTTTCGATATTTCAGTTTCGGGATTTTTCAAATTTTCGCTTTTTTAATCTTTCTTCCGTTTTTCCATCTCTCAATATTTCAGTTTTGGAATTTTTCAATATTCTGATTCTTCAATTTTTCAACTTTTCGGTTCTTCAATTTTTCAGGTTTCCAACTTTCCGATTTTTCGAATTTTTACTTTTCCATTTTTCAATTTTAAGATTTTAGATTTTTTGTTTCAATTTTTCCATTTCTCTGTTTTTCGAGTTTTCGACTATTCGGGTTTTCGATTTTTCAATTTTTCGATTTTTCAATTTTTTCATTTCCCAGTTTTTCATCATTTCGATTTTGAAAATTTTCAGTTTCTCGATTTTTGAATTCTTCAGTTTTTCGACTTTTCAATGTTTATTACTTTTTAAATTTTGGATTTTCGATTTTCCGACTTTCTGGCTTTTCAATTTTTTCGATTTTTGAATTTTGGACTTTTTAATTTTTCCATTTTTCAATTTCTCTTTCGATTTTGACCTATTTTGATTTCTCAATTTTTCAATTTTTGACTTCTCGTTTTTTCGATCTTGTGAAATTTCGATTTCTGGATGTTTCAGTTTTTGAATTTTTTGTTGTTTCAATTTTTCGATTTCCGTTTTTCGATTTTTCGACTTTTCGGGTTTTCGATTTTCAAATTTTTCCATTGTTCAATTTTTCCTCATTTTAATTCTGAAAATTTTCAATTTCTCGATTTTTTGATTTTTTAATTCTTCAATTTTCCGATTTTTGAATTTTAGGTTTTTCATTTTTTCTATTTTTCTATTTTTTGATGTTTCGATTTTAAAGTTTTTCGATTGTTCAATTTTCAGATTTTTCAATTTTTCGTTTTTAAAATTTTAAGCTTTTGAATTTTTTTTTGACGATTCGATTTCTGATTTTGTAATTTTTCTGTTTCTCAATTCTTTGGAGATATTGACTTTTCAATTTCGATTTCTCGATGTTTCAGTTTTTGAATTTTTTGTTGTTTCAATTTTTCGATTTCCGTTTTTCGATTTTTCGACTTTTCGGGTTTTCGATTTTCAAATTTTTCCATTGTTCAATTTTTCCTCATTTTAATTCTGAAAATTTTCTGTTTCTCAATTTTTTGATTTTTTAATTCTTCAATTATCCGATTTTTGAATTTTTCGATTTTTGAATTTTAGGTTTCCCATTTTTTCTATTTTTCTATTCTTTGATGTTTCGATTTTAAAGTTTTTCGATTGTTCAATTTTCCGATTTTTCAATTTTTCGTTTTTAAGATTTTAAGCATTTGAATTTTTTTTTTTTTTGATGATTCGATTTCTGATTTTTTAATTTTTCTATTTCTCAATTGTTATTGACTTTTCAATTTCGATTTCTCGATGTTTCAGTTTTTGAATTTTTTGTTGTTTCAATTTTTCGATTGCCGTTTTTCGATTTTTCGACTTTCGGGTTTTCGATTTTCAAATTTTTCCATTTTTCAATCTTTCCATTTTTCAATTTTTTGATTGTTCAATTTTTCATTTTAATTTCGAAAATTTTCAGTTTCTCGATTTTTTTATTTTTTAATTCTTCAATTTTCCGATTTTTCAATTTTTTGATTTTTGAATTTTAGGTTTTTGATTATTTCTATTTTTCTATTTTTTGATGTTTCGATTTTTAAGTTTTTCGATTGTTCAATTTTCCGATTTTTCAATTTTTTGTTTTTAAAATTTTAAGTTTTTGAATTTTCTCTTTTGATGATTCGATTTCTGGATTTTTCAATTTTTCTGTTTCTCAATTGTTTGGAGTTATTGACTTTTCAATTTTTCGATTTAATGTTTTTCTATTTTAAATTTTTCGATTTTGACCTATTTTGATTTTTCAGTTTTCCAATTTTTGACTTTTCGTTTTCGCGATCTTGTGAAATTTCGATTTCTTTGTGTCTCAGTTTTCGAATTTTTTGTTTTTCCAATTTTTCGATTTCTGTTTTTCGATTTTTCAACTTTTCGCGTTTTCGATTTTCAATTTTTGATTTCCCAATTTTTCGTCATTTCAATTCTTAAAAATTCCCGATTTTTCAATGTTTGTGACTTTTTAGATTAAATTTCGAATTTTCGATTTTTCAATTTTTCGTTTTTAAAGTTTTAGGCTTTTGAAATTTTTTTTATGATTCGGTTTCGGGATTTTTCAATTTTTCGTTTATAGCTTTTTTTAATTTCAAATCTTTTAATTTTTGTTGTACTTTTCCATTTCTCGATGTTTTAGTTTTAATTTTTCGTTGTTTCAATTTTTTCGATTTTTCGAGATTTCGGCTTTCCCATTTTCCAATTTTTCAATTTTTCCATTTTTGCAAATTATTAAATTTTGAATTTTTGATTTCCCGGTTTTTCGATCAATCGACTTTTGAATTTTCCAATTTTTCGATTTTTAAATTTTAAATTTGTGAGAAATTTCAATTTTTCCACTGTGCATTGTTTCAATTTTTTGATTTTTCAGTTTTTGTATTCTTCAATTTTCAGATTTTTCACTGTTTGTGATTTTTCGATCTTTCGGTTTTTCGAAATTTTTATTTTTCTATTTTTCGAATCTTGAAATTTTTGGTTTTCCAATTCTTTCATTTTATAAGTTTGCGATTTCTCAATTTTTAACATGTCACTTTTAAGGACTTTTCAATTTTGTGATTTTTTAATTTTCGGATACCACGATTTTTCGATTTTCTAATGTTTCAATTTATAGATTTTTCAATTTTTCAATATTTTAAGTGTTCAATTTTGTAAAATTTCGATTTTTCGGTTTGTTAAATATTTTCGTTCAGGCGAATGTTTATCACAAACATAAACCCCAATTTTTCGAGAAAGTGCGAAATCAATCCCGATTAAATAATTCATGATCATTCAACCTGCGGAGGAATAAAATAAAAGATCTACATATCCTGGATAAACAGTCCAAATAATAAAATACACAAAACTATAGCGACCTCGTGTATTTAACGTTTCTGTGTACTTAAATATAGTAAAAATATTTATTACTTCGAATCTATAAAGTAGAAAATTTATGTAAACGCAAAAACGAATCACTGCCTTCTTTATTACTCACAGATGGAACATGTTGGAAGCACTTTCAGATTTAAAACAATCGCTTAAAAATATTTTCTGTCGAAAGGAGACATCAAACAGACTTGCAAAATTTAACAAATATTACTGATAAGACTGCGAAGACCGTCCTAACGTTAAGCGAATTTGGCCTTTATCGCTGTTACTACATACAAGTCATCGTGGTTTTATTTATTTGATTGTACCTTTTATTGTGATTTATGAAACAATATGTGCTCTTCGTTGTATAATAAACCCATTGTTTCATTTTCCCACGCATAGCAACACAATCATTTCTTTAATTAAG